AATTAAGTTAACTGAGTAAGGAGAGCGTTTCAAAATGACATTTACTATATGAATTCTATTGTATTTCTGCCTTAGTTGGCATGAAATGATAATTTCATTTTAGGAACGAATCCATTTACAAATCCTGCTTCGTAATTATGGAGTTCTTTACAATAGTTTTTTCTTACATAATGCTGATAATATTGGAAAATTTCTAGGCTCAAGTTTTATGAATTTCAATACTTTTTTAGCATAATTTCATTTCACTTGTGGAACACACCTCTTAAAGTGTGTGTGTGTGTGTGTGTGTGTGTGTGTGAGAGTTAAAAGGAACAGGCTGAGGCTCTTAAATGCGTTTATTACTTGAAAGTGTTCTAAAACCAGTACTAGATGCCTCATTAACTTCATGGAAGAAAATGTCAACTCTTTAAGCCTAGTTTAGGAGTCTCGACATAATTGACCAAGATCAACTAGCATGACTGCAAATGGTATCGCGGGCACCATTCTGTTTGTAGGCTTTCGAGTTCTCTTTCAAGTTTTTTTTAATAATAAAATATAAACCACCGTTTTCGCTCATGCAGATGAAATGCTAGGCTCTTTTCTAAGGTCATTAATTATTAAACTGCCTTTTCCTTCTTTTTTCTATTTACGAGCTTTGAGTAGACGATAGGGGCAAAGTGTGTTCAACTTTTAGGTCATGGCAGAGAACAGCTCAATTCGTTAGAACGACTGTTTAGAGGGGCAACGAAGAAAGGTTGTACTACAGCCATGCCCCCCCCCCCTCCACCACAAAAATGAAGGTGAGAGAGATCACAATTATGTAAAAATCGAACCTAAGGTGGCAATCATTATAATACATTCTGCCTTCATATGCCTTAATTGGGTTTAAGAATCTCCGTTCATGTTTGCTGATTCTATTTACGCATAATCGATAAAATTAGGGATGCCAACCCTTCTCACTACATGATTGACTGGCTTAGATTGACCTATAGTAGACGGCTAATTTCTAAGATATATGCATTAGGCAGATACATTAAGTTTCAGTTCAACTGGACATGTTTATATTATGAAATTTGAACAAAACACATTTCTACCTATGAGGGGTTTTTGTTGAAATATTTTGCTACAATCAAGGCATGGTGGTGGTCTAATCGTCTTTTCATTAATTAATGAGTCAGCAATTTTTAAGTGCATTCAAAATCAGATAAAATAACTTAAAATCCGGAAAAAAATTCATTGCACTTTATTATGATATCAACTTTGCAAAAAAATGATCTCGGATTAGGACAAAGTACGGAAGTGAACAATGCAACCAATTGAACTACTTACACTAAAAAAAACGAACTCTCTATCCTGACAATTCAATAAACTTAGATTGGATGGTAGACTCTGCCATTTATGAGTAAATTTTTAAGCACCATTCGAGTAATTTCCTATCTATTTACCCTAAAATATCAATACCAATGCCAAAACTGCGTATCGAACGGTTATTATCCCTTTTTTTACAAAATCGTCCCATTATTGGAGAAAGGGTGGGGAAGAGAAGGCTGCACGGTTATTTAGTTGAAAAAAGTAAGCTTAAATAAAGTGATGAATTGAACCCTTATCTAGGATGATAATAGCATACTTTGATGAAAATAATTTAATTATCACTCTCATAAGTTAAATAAAGCATGAAGAGGCTGGAGTGGTGGCTAATAGTCCTTTCTCTTTTGTGTTTTAAAAGGAAAGTTCCACAGAGTTGGCTTGAAGATCATCTCATTCTCACACTTCTGGCCAATCAGATTTGAACACTGAGGCCATTGAATCCCGTTTAGAGAGAAGCAGATTTCAGAGAGTGCAATTGTAACGAATTTAAAATTATGATAGAATATGGCTCTCTTCTCTCCATGACGCTCTACCCATCTCAGTATTTTTTAAACTTATAATGTCTCCTAAACTTAGTCGTTACTCTTTGATTTAAATGCCTATTGGGGTGGGGGGTGGGTGACTACAGAGTGTGAGAGCACTCACAGACGGCCTACGTAATTTCAGTTAAGGAATTTAACAGAAGGCCTTCTACCTTTTCACGTCAGCCTCAATGCATCTTTCTGTGTGCGTCTGGATATTTGGTAGATTCAATAAATGCAATTATCACCCACTTCCATTTTTTTGCGCTTGAAGCGTCGAATCGTACTCAAGATATGAAGGAACCTAATTCAAGCAAAGGGAATTAAATGTCTCTCTAGATATCGATAAGGACTCAAATTTATTAAAGTATTCATTATTACCCTATATAAATTTAGTCAATTGCATGTTAGATAGGAATAACTTTGAATGTTTTATGAAATAAGTTACAGTTTTTACTGTTTAGTTTTGATATTTTATTGTTTGGCCTGACTAGAAAAAAACGTGTGTTAAATACCTTTTTTCAAATATAATAAGGGGACATGAGCGTGTTGAATTATTTCGATGAAGAAATAAAGGACTTGGAATTGAATTTCTTCTGTCAGTAAAATTGACAAGGTAATTGACCGAACGAAATAGCCAATAAATCTGATTTTCCTGGCCTGCGAATGTTTAATTAAAGTTGACAAGTGCCAAAGATCAACTCTGATGGTAATGACTTTTTTGTCAATCAGATTATAGATATATCTTTGTTCTACTAATTAATTAATTATCCAATCATTCATCGCCAAACAGCTAAAGTTCCTCAAAATTCAGTAATTCACCTACCGTATTGCTGCAGAGGAACTGAAAGCCAACTTTTCTAAGGACACTTGAGTGAAGGCAGATAACGTGAGCATATGATGAACGTTGCATTGCTGTTGCTCATGGTGGAATTAATTTAATTATCATGCTGTTTAAAAGTTGGAACTCTCTTTGTGATAAGATGGTTGCCCACTTTCAGGTCAATCTTTTCACCCAATTAAGATCTAGTGGAATTTTACGCTCCGTTGATTTGCCGTAGCTTGGCTAATAAACACTCCCTTCAAGCTTGCATCGTTCTTTGTAGATGAAGAGAGGATATTTATACCTTTCCCATTGTTTTGAACAAAGACTTGATTGATATTTGCTCGATCTGAGCTACGCACTTCTGGAGGAGATGCCGACTTTAATCGCCAAATAATTTAAAGTTCAAAATTAAAAGCGTCAACGACATCAAATAGGCACTTATGAAAGTCATGATTAACAGATTGCGAACTTAAAGCTGTTTTAGAACGGATCAGTTTACTGTAGAAATACACTGCTGTAACAAATTTCTATATATATATATATATATATATATATATATATATATATAAACAATTATTAAATTATGAAAAAAATAAATTGAGAAGTAGAGATCATTCATTTTAAAAGTTATAAGAGCAGAAAGTTGCCAATGGTTAACTTATAATACGACTTAATACTAAGCTCAGAAAGTGTCACTATTATAAATAAATAAATAAAAATATCTGAGATGAGTATAAAAGTCGAGAACACGGTAGAATTGTGCAGAATTGTTGTAAAGATACTTATAATTCATGTTTGTAGGGGCTTCGCCATGATGAGAAAAAAAATGGAATAGAGTCAGGTGACGGTGCGAATAAATGCACTGGAGGAGAATGAAAGAGGTGTCCGACTTGCAACCGCTAATGGCCTTTGTTGCAAGAAGAGAGAGAGTAAAAAACTGGATAGATGGAAGTAAATAAGCACAATTTGATTGGAACTGGTCATAAGCAAGTTAGCGAGAAGCAAAATATCTAAAAATATCCGAAAATAATAGGAAGAGAAACGAAGGGAATAGATGACTGAATTCATTTCACGCAGTAAATACGCACTGATAAGGCCCTGATCAATTTCGGAGACATATGATGGTGGTTGGGGTAAATGTGAAGGGCAATCTCCAGCTTACTTGTCATCTAATCACACTCCAAGTCAAGACACACTTCTAATGGCCTCGAATGTGAGTCAAATCACTTCCACGTAGCACCGCGTTATTTTCCTTGTCATTGAATATTTGATTTGCCTATTCACTCACTAGCCTTTGACCTTAACCCCTAAGATTATTAAGAGGCATTCCGAAATGCAGCATTAAATTTATGCCTCGAAAACGATTGACTTATTGACATTAGTTCTTTTAAAAAATACACTGGAAACCATATTTGAAATGTCATTTGATCCTGATATACATGGAAACTAATCCATTATTTAACTCTTGTTGAACAGGATTGAACTCGTCACCTCTTGAGAAGGTGAGCCCCAAATCATGATATGAACAAAAAACGATAAGTGCAATATGGTTATACAAACTGTATAATACTTAAGATATACATTTGGCATTAATTTTACCGATTTCTATTAACGGCACACACTTTCTGAGTGCCAATTAATAGTTAATTAATATTGAGAAGGTTTTATTAAGTACGGACATTACTGCAAAATAGGTGTTGATACAATTATCACCGACATAACTGTGACAAAGTTACTTCATGTAATGGAAGGTAATTTTGACGTGGTTCCGATGATAACTTTGTTTTCGATTCGTATGTAAATCTTTTTCAAAGGGTAAATTGTACTACGCGTCTGTGTAAGATCATTTCAACCTAAAAGCAGCCTAACTATTAATTGATAATCAGGTGCAGTATTTTGCATAATAAACAGAAAATTAGTTTTATTTACTTCCTTATATATATATAGGTAATTTGCTACCAATCCTACACCCTGTATTGGCTCAACAAATCTTTGCTGTTATACGTCTAGGTTTCCAAGGATAAAGCCGGGGTCGCAAAACTTAATTGTTTTCATTAATGAAAGGAAGTTTTAAGCGTCTGAGACAAATATGATTTCTTCAAACTTGTCTTTTGCTTTACAACTTTAAAATAAGAACCATAATATACACTGAAACTGGTCAAGTTTTGAAAAAACACGGTAACTACTACAACCTAGTGACTTGAGCTTAGAATTTGTTCTCTTTCTAATGGGACTGGAGAAGGGAGAAAAATGAAGAAGACGTACATGGAGTTGAAGGAAAAATGTTATACACAATAGAGGTTGTGCTAAGAAGGCAGCTGTTCAACATTACTGTTCAGACGATTTTTCTCCATCATCTCCACCAAATAATCGTCGTATCCTTCGCCTTCTAAATCTCCTTCCTCTTCCCCATGAACCGAAGTGGTTTCAAGACGTGAAGGCTGTTCTAGCAGATGTTTACGAACTTTCTTTTTGATTTCACGGATGTAGCGAGCAAACCACTTAAATTTGGAGACAACTTCTTCTTGCATCAACTTGATGCACATGGCGAACACCGAGAGTCCTACGGCAACGTACATTGTAATTATGATAAGTTTCTCTTTGGGATTGGTTGAATCAACCTTGGTACCTAAAAAACAAAAGCAAACATCGAACTAAGGCATGAAACAACGCTGCGGTTATTTGAAGTTGGAGGGTAGTTAAAATAGGTTAAGAAATACTTAAAATCAGCCCCATCCGATTTTTATATTGCCTTATTTTTTTCTGAGAGCTCACTTCCAATTACTTCAGGAATGGCAATTTCTTGCCTAAAAAACATTAGTAAATGCAAGGAATGGATTTTATCTAAAAGAAATATTTCTCGAGAAGCTGTTTTCACTTAAAATAGTGACAGTGTGTGCGTGCATATTTCATCATATAAAGAGAAAATAAGTTTAAACATTTATTGCCATGAAGATTGACGATATTTAAAAATAAAAAGAGCAAAAATTATTCTTAAGGAAATTGAGAAAGATTTTATTATTTTTAAGTGAGTTATTTCATTTTAATTCGATTTCCTTATAACGTCAAACATTGATCGCCACTTTTAGGTCAGAGCCCAACTTCTCAACCCATCCACTCTATTTTAATTTCAGCCACATTTTAAAGGACCTTCATTAAAAAAAATACCAAAATGTATCGCATTAACCTTTGTTTTTTTTGAATTCAAATTCAATTAGCAATATAAACTCAGTTTCGCCCATTTAAGGATTCGACTGAAATAAAGTGCAAAACACTAAAATTTTGGTGATAAATTCCTGGCACTAAACTGCCGAAGAAATATTAAATAAAACTTTAATTTTACTGCAAATTTAAATTAATTACACACAAAGGGTTGGAAAAAAATTAATTTTCGTATTGTCTATAAAAAAACTTTAAAATACAGTAAAAAGGTGGCTAATAAACCTAAGTGAAATCTAACCCTTTATACGGAATGAGCAAAGAATTTTCTTTATACTTCTGCTCACCTGGTACGATATCACCAAATCCAATTGTCGAAAGGGTTACGAAGCAGAAGTATGACCATTTCAAGTAGTTGTTATCCTCCCAAATGCAGAAAACGCAAGCTCCAATGAGAATATAAGTAGCAACTATCATAATTGAAAGACTAATTGGGACAGTCACCTTGGAGATATCCTCTCCATCCCAGTCATCCTCTCCATGATCTTGATTTATTTCAGTGTTGGCCTCACTAATCACGTCATCTGAGTAGTAGCTCAATCGAACAGCTAGATCACTTGCAGAATCATCCAACGAAGAGAGCATAGAAAGACGCGATTTTTGATAAAAGGGCACTGGCATATCTCTTCGCCTTCCACTTTGAGGAGGCACCATCTTTGATTTTCTTTGGGCTACTCTAGCAGGAAGAGAGACTGAGGAATTTGTGTTGAGCTCGAGTCCTGAAATCATCTGATCATGCCCTAATTTAGCATCTAGGTTAGGAGTAATTGATTTTGTAGCACTAAGGGAACTCCTAAGCCCACTTGTAGTCTTTAAATCCTGCAGTGAAGAACAGGTGATCACATTATCTGAGAAATCTGAATTGGAGGTTTTCTTTCTGTCGGTTTCTGAAATTTCCTCATTTCCTCCAGTCTCTGGTGTCTCGTAACAAATTTTCGGTTCACAACTAGGTACCTGAGAAAGTGTTTGGAGCCTTTTCCGCATTCGCTTTCTCTGGTGTTTTATCTCTCGCCGATAGGATCGCAAGTAGTGACCGGTTACGAAGGATTTGCATAGGCTGTGATAGTCTAGGAAGTCATTTGGTCCTGCTTGTAAGATGGTCTGGGTTCCAGAATTATGCTTTGGTGTGTTATCAACATGTGATACGCAGAGGTTAAATACTTTCGGACAATTTTTGGGAGAATCGACTGATTCATTCCTAATTTCTATCGCACAGTGAGAGTTTGAAGACGGCGTGATAGGGTTAGATGTAAGTGGAAATTGTGCTGAGGATATTATTCTTGAGGGTTTCCGTGAATCAAGAGGCACTGTTAGTTTTGAATTGTATTTTTCTTTGACGCTTTCCGGCTTTAAAGCCGAAATATTATTGAGCCAAAATGATCGCGATGAATTCGGTGAGACTTTAAAACGCATACGATGACTTTCTGTCGAAGGTGTACTCACAATCTAAAAAAAAATACATTTTACGTTAGCAATAAGTTTACAATATATATTAATAAACTGGGAAATTTTGTTCGATGTATTGGTAGTACATATATATTATATTTGAACTAAAGTGATTGTTAAAATAACCAACTTCAATCAATCGTGCTTAAAATTTAAAATTAAAAGTATATATTAGAGGGTAGGGAGGGGGAGGGGAGGGGTTGGACAAATATTCATGTCTCTTCACACATTAGCACTCACTGACTTTTACTGAAAAGTTAACCATAAAATTTCAGATTACTGTAGGTGAATTCTAAGGTCGTGTTTAAATTTCGCCTATTTACCAATTACTCAGTCTGCCTATTAACGAAATGCTATTTCAATACGCTCTGACTTCTAAGTAAAATCCCGTGAGCTCTGGTCTGTTAATTCGAATCACCCTGTTAGTATCCCAAATAATATAAAAGGCGAAATTCAATTATTTTTTTTAATTCACATCTCAATAACTTTGAGTTTGGAAGAGGAAACTCCGTTCACTCATTTTAAACTTGACAAAAAATTTCGATTCAAGTTATAGGGACTTATAGCTTACAAACTAGACCTCTTCTAAGTATGCTTCTCTTTGTCCTCTGCAAATGTCTTATTAGAACTCAATAAGCCATACTTAAACCGCATGCTAATAGACCGCTTATAATGAAGACTTAGAATAAGTGCTCACTTAACATACGCTGATAGATAAAGATCATGATGCAAAATGTCCTTCTGCAAGTTAAATCAAGTTATTGACAATGGTTATCACTTGATCTACGAATTTTAGTATCTAAGACCCTATCCAACTATTAACTTTTCATCGAAATTTGAACTCTAATTCCGTTAGTGTTTAAATAAATTTGGCTAGTATTAAGCCTCCAAATCTCAGATAATACCAACTAATAGTTCTCTAATTCGCGTCGTAGGAAATTGTGTCAACATAGCACCTTTTAGAATGGGTCAATTCGCTCCATCTCCTGCTGAACAACGTTGAACTAGATGAACAACCCTTTTCTTAATTATTAATGCTGAAAAAATTTATCGCCCACTTTTCCCGAAAGCTAAGATCCTAAAGAACGCGGTCAATGTGATCAATGAGTGAAGTTCTAAGAATGCAGCAGCTTTGCAGAACATTTAATTTCAAGACTTAGATCTACCAATGCATTATTTACCCCTCAGTAAATATTATTTTCAAAGTTTTGTACCTCAAATTTTAACCAATTAACTGGAAGTAAATAAATTAAGAAATTAAAAGATTGGCTCAAATTGAGTTACAAGGGTCAGGTTGTCCTCGGTTTACGCCTTGAATATACCCAAATATGCATAATTAGCCAATTAGTAAACAGTTCATCTTAATTGGGTGGTGGAGGGCGTTAATTAAATCACTTGATAATAATTGCCTCTAACGTGCTAGATTTAAATTTGGCTTAAATAATTACATTCTTGCATAAAACAACTCATTGGAATTTACGAACCCTTTTTTAATCATATATTTGGTGGGCATATTGCCCCATTACTCATTTATAGCAGAGTTTTTGAAAGACAAACCACATAGTCTTTGTAAATTAAATTATTTTGCTTTTAACTTTCCAGAAACACACATGGAGCCATTTAAAATAAATTAATGCAAAAAATGTGATTTATCCATTCGTTGGGAGACCATATTAGTTGTATAGTTAGAAACAAGATTTTTTTATAAATAAAGCAATTTATCTTATTTTCTATTCAAAATTTAAAACACTCAATTATCCATAGCGGAAGCTGAAATTGCAATTCCGTGGGAAATATTTCAGCTGATATTTTTCGATGTCAGTAATTTTTAAGTTTTCCGACAATGACAAAAATAAAATAGCACCAATTCGTTCAGGACCATATGGAACACACGTCGTTGCCACCACTGAACAAAGTAATCTCATGTGCACTCAGATAGGTTTGAAGGTGGGGAAGTTTAACTTTACGAAGGGAGGAAGTGCGTCAATCAATAGTCCATGTTTGATTTAGCAAAATCAAGACATGTTAATATAATGATCAAGCTCCTTGTCGGTAAACAAGCACACACGCACGCACACTCCCCACACACTTTCCAAATAAACGTGTCCCACACGATAGGTCAGTTTCCTCCGCAGATTTACTGTAGCTTAGCCAATTCTGTGAGACTTTCCAAGCATTGGAGAATACGCCATAGAGATTACTGAGTTTAGTCAAGACCCAGTAGTGTAGCGATCCGCTCTCAACCTGTCTCTGATTTCAGCTCAATGTCCTCAACTTCTCATAACTCACTTTGTCCATTAAATAGTCATTGGATAATACGCAGGATATATATGTCAGTTTAATTCAAACAATATTCAATGATTATATACATTATTAGTATTATTCGACATAACTATACTCTTCTGTAACCCTAGGCACGCATAATTAACAGGGATATTAAAATCTGGAGTAAAGGCGTTGTCTTTTACCTCATTATCATCAGTTTCCAATGCATGCCTATTGCAAAACACATTCACTCCAGTAAAATTCGGTAACACGTCCTCCTTCTTTGAAATTCTTGGTCCATCTTTGCTCACACCAAGAGTACCTATTCTCCGAATGATGTTTACATTATTTCGATGGAAAGACTCGTCCAAAAGGTAATCCCGACGCTGTGGGAGGTCAATATCAGTTGACCGCGCTTTCAGAGCATCGAATATACTCCTCCTTCTTCGAGAATCCATGTTTTTCAAACAACTTCCTTCACAACATCGACGACAGATCTTGGCGTAGAGAATTCGAAAAAGGGAAGCAAGGTAGTCGCCAATATTGGTTAAATAGAGGAATACAAGTGGAATGCCAATCAGGGCGTAGATGATTGTGAGAAACTGGCCAATGTTTGTTTTGGGCACTGCATGGCCGTATCCTGAAAATAGGAGGAAATTACATTTTTAGTGCTATGCCTGTTGCGTATGAGAAATACTTCGAAGTCACATCTGCCTCCCATTGGCTGTAACGCGGAATGAATTACTTCGATTGACATAAACAACTGTAGAATTACGGAAACATGCTGACAACAAGTCTTTTTACAAAATCATGAAAGAATTGACTGCGCGAAATAAAGGGCAGCGGTGAAAAGCGTCTGTTTTGAAAGATTGAAGACTCCAGTAACAGAAATTAGGATTAAAACCTCGTTATATTTGAGTTACAGTCCATGTTTGCGGTTACTTAACTTTGAAGATTCTTGACTTTAATGAACCATTTCCTCATATCACTATATATATATATAATATTAAAATTCGCTTTATGTCAAGCCTGTTTATGAGTTTTCAATTTCTTATTTATTTCCAACTGGGAAACTGCGATACCGCAAAGCAGTTGGCGACGCCGAGTTAAAAGAATCACACCACTAAAATAATTATCAAGAAAATTGCTTTAAATTTTAAAATAGTTGCAAAACCATTCAGATAGAGCAGAAAGAGTGGAGGGAATCAATTAAACAAGGAAGCGATGTAACGCTGTGAATCAATGCTGCAGAAAAGTAAGAAAGCCAAAGGATAATGTCAGAAAATTCATTCGAAACAATAGATATTGAATCTAAATGCTCTAATGTATCCTCCCTAACCAGAAGTATTAACCCTGGTCCAGTGAATTTGTGAGTTTCACTACGATTCATTAGCTGATGAACATATTACTAACTTGTTTGACAATGCTCTCTCTCAAAAGTCCCATAAGACGAAAAATAGCTGATTCTGTTTGCAATTTTTAAATGTCTTATCCTTTCCAAAACAGAGTGACGAGTACTGTCTGCCATCAGAGTAACCGATTTAATTTCTTTGACCACCAAAGGCCAATTCAAATGACCACTGCTTTTAAATGGTCTTTGGTGTTTACTATCGAATTATCAGAGTGATGGAAGAATGTGATACAATCACTTCAGAGGATCCTATTAATGAACTTAAGAAATCGGAAAGCACCTTTGACAGCAATACCTGTCAGTAGAAATCTGGTGAAAACAGTAAGAAAGTTTCTCACGAAACCATTTCTCGAGAGTTTCTTCTCTCCTCAAATCTTTAACTAAATGCTAGACGTGCAATGGTTCGAACTTGATCCGCTTTATTCATATTGATCTTACAAATGTGCTTTGTAGGAGTAATGAGGAAAAGTAAAGAGTGTTCTGAGCGAAAAGAATAGAAACAGCACTGAGGAAATTAAGCCTGGAAATGCTATTCTAAAAGTTCGTTCTGTGTCAACTTGACCTGAGAGTTTTCCAATTTTCACTCATATCTTTTAGTGAGAAATTAGGATATTAGGATTGCAAATAGTGGAATAGTAGTGATTAGAGTTCTCTTTGAAAGAGCGCCACTTGCCTATATACTAACCTGCTGCATAAAGAATAACCCAACTAATTTGATTGACCTTAAAGCTTCAAATTTGACCTGGGGCGAAATACTTAAGATTTACTCATTAGCACATGGTTCGATGTCCATTATGGTGGAGTTATAAACTCACTCCCAAGAAAGCATTGTAGGTAAACCCTTTGAAGACCCCTCATCATAGTCGTCTCGTCTCGTTTCGTCGATAATTCCCTTTTCCATATCCTCTCTTTGTTTAATGATTTTGAAATTTTCATTTATCAGACGTTATTTCATGAATGAAATTAAAAAATCTTGTTTACAACAGCTCAATCAACTGCGGACGCTTTATGAATTCGACTTTGCACTGACTTGTATTATTTTGATCGGCTGAAAAAATAAGTACTTTTAGAATATTAGATTAACATTTTGATCACTGACCATTGAGCATGCAAAGGTTGATCATTCATCTGCTTTTTATACTGTACTGGGAAATTGAAATTCATTGTCAAATCTTAGTTCATTTTGAGTGTTCAATCGACATTTGATATGGTTCATCAATCTTGATTTGCGTCTGGATGCTAGAAGGCCTTACAATTTAGAAGATGACACGAACAAATTTGGGTCACGCTTGCTCTCTCCCCGTCTATATCTATCTATGCTCGAACCCCTTTCATCAAACCCCCACAATGTACAAGAGGTTTCATTAATACATAGATGATCTTTGTAGTAGCAAACAATCACATTATTCAAACTTATCCCTCCTCATACTTTCTCCTTGATGTAATTAATCGAAACACAAATTTTCTTGGGAGGTGATTTGCATAAGATTCTAAACGTCGTGGAAAGGCATTCGTACTGACTGAAATGCCAAATCTAGGGTATTTTATGGTCTTGAATCTTCAAAGAGGCCGCTGAGTATCAATTTACGGATGAAATCCAACGTCCTTTCATCTATTTAACCTCTAAACACCCCAATTTGGGGAAAAAGAGCATCGACTGAAATAGAATCGTAACATGAGAAAAATGTCCCCTGATCTATTTTCCACGCCTGACGTAAATTCCCTCTGAAAGAACTTTTGTACTACCTAGCATGTCCCATAATTTATAAAGCTTCATTAACTTTTGGATGAGCTAACATGACTCACTCTGATGCAGAGAAAATTTAAATTCCGGTTGAATGAGCTTTAAATGGATTAATTCAAAGAATACATGTGATCCTTATAAAAGCAGTTTTCATATAAAAAATAATTGTAAAAGAAGACACTTAAGGAGAGTTTATGTAATTCCTTCTATCGCCTAGTTTAGGTGGATGATAAGCACTAGCAAGTAGAGTAGAAACATATCTAGTTTGCATGATCACTAAACAGAATTTAATGCCCTCCACCCCAGTCAAACTCGAAACATAATAATGAATCTGGGAGTTAAATACTGTATTTGAACATTATATATGGGATATGGAGTGTGCGATAGACTTACTTCCACATGGTGCACCCTGGGCAACGTACACTCATACGGCAAAAAAGTCTATTAACCGGCAGTTGACTTCTGACTCCAAACAATCATCACCCCCCTGTATGTCATATTTGGGTACTTCCATAGTACTCACCTCAACTTTTTTCTACCATTGTGTCTGTCTCTTACATCTTTGAAACACTTTTCTATTCCCCCCTCTTGACTTTTTACACTTTGATGTTCCTTTCCCTCTCTGAAGCCTGAAGTCAACTAAAGGGCTAATGAGAACTATCAAAACGCCTGCCATTTGAAATAAATAAATATATATATATATATATATGGGATATAACGCCAGTAACTCATTGACTCAATGAAAGCATGGACAAGACCCTCCTTCCATGAATCAAAACCATGTTCAAGACTTCTGATTTCTTGACGTCATGGCCTGTTGCTTCCCGATCGCATTCCCTGCTTGGTATCTCAGTGAAGATCCATGATTATAACTTGCTTCAAACTGTTCAAGTGAAAGAGTAACGATCACTGCAACTCTTCCCCTTCACTTTTATATATTAAAAAAATTCAAAAAAATCAACACATTACATAATGAAATTCAAATACTGTGCATATATTAGTGAAATGTTTTGGAAAAATAGGCAGTATTCTGACTGAAACTCAAATATTTCAAACTAGGAAGACCTGTTGGCGTTTAATAATAATTGAAGCAGACGAAATGAAGGTATTAAGATTTCCATCTTTTTTGCAAATCTTTCAATGATCTCGGTTATTGACAGGATCTTATAGTATGCTGTTGACTTCGAAAAACTCGTAGTTTTTGTCAAAAATATGATAAGGTGATACACTTTTTTAAACCAACAATTGTGCTGTCTGGAGATTATTGTTCATGGAGACTTGTGGTGCAATACAGAGGATTGTGATTGGATTAAAGAATTTCTCATTCGACTACTTTTTTTAGCAATCAGCGGTCTAACTGCGAAGGCAATAGAAGTGAGCACACATGGCAACTTGCAACTGATGGCATAGTTTTGATTTCGGAGTGTTTGCTTCCTTCAATTTGCAATGCACGAATTTATTCTGAGCCATCATTACAGATTTCTTTAAAATACTTCATACTGGCAATGCTAAAAGATTAGAATTTACAAACTAGCAATTATAGAGTAAGAAATTATAGGTATTGTTTTAAATCTTCTTCCTCTCTTGGTCTATTTATGTGCCATAAATTTAAAAAAACGCAACCATCACAAAACGCCTATATATTTATAGATAAATGTATAATAATTTTTAATAGAATTCCTTTAAGAAGAAATCGAAGGCCAGAAATGGTGGTAGAATGCAAGTTCCCATAAAAATGCCAGTTTACAGTGATGTTAAATGGAATAATGATTTACTGTTGTCCATAGAATTGCAATTAAAATGCACGCGTTTTAAAATTTGAGAAGCCCACTGGGGCATGGAACGGGTGACGACCAAGAAAAGTGTTGGGAGAGAAGGATTAAGAAATCGTATTTATTATTTTCAAGGACAAAAAGTAGAACATTCTAATATATCGTTATGTGTGAACTTTACTTTACAATACCATAAAGATAAAATTTTATAAACTGGAGCAGTTATGTCCACGGTATCTAGAGGAAGTTGAATGATTGAGTTTAGCAGCGACAATTTTTAAGGCCTTTGTTTAATATAAATTGAAATACTTGTGATAAAAATAAAATTTAGAATTTACCGAAATTATAACGAATAATATATTGGCCATACCTCGATCAAAATTGAGCAGATTTGCTGAGAATTATATCTGTACGCTCAACCTAATGAAAGCGAACATAGAAGTCTTGTGAATGCATTTAGGAAATGCTCTAAGCGATGCCCGAGGAAGTAGGAAGTGCCTATAGCAGACAGAAATATCGATTTTGGCTTCAAAGATTAAATTTCCCTTTAACAAAATAAATGCACTGCTAAGGACTGCATCAGAAAAGCCGCAGGAACGATGAAATCAAGTAGCAAATTTAAATATCCAATTTCTGATTGCTTCCAATTTTGCAAAAAAACCGGTTGGCATTAATTTCAGTGCAATTCACTTTGAAACTATTTTGCCTCTTTTCTCAACTCGCATCTTCATTTTAGTGCATCCTCTTGTCCGGCCATTCTAATAAGTAAATGGAATTACTATAATAAAATGCAATGTATGGGCCCACAAATCCCATCTTTCAAATCGACAAATGGCTAGTGGATAATAGTTACGATTTACAGCCAATTCAAACACAGCCTCTTTCAATAATTATCTTTAGCTCATCTGAAATTTTATCTTTTAAAATGTTCCAAAAAGGTTATACCGAGTTCTTAATCATAATTATAATAATAGCAATTAAGATTTTTGCAAACATTAGTCTCCTAATGGGTTTTACAATTTAATTTGTGTATTAGCTATCGGTACCAAAGGGCCATTTCATTTGAGACTGCTTTGGTCATAAGTCCTGATTGAACGCAAATACAATTGTTTGGCAATTTAACAATGTTAACACATCAATTACCCAAGTATACTTCTTTTCACAATAATTTCCTTACAGATATTCCACCGAAATGTCAAGAAACCAGAATCATTTCACATTTAAAAAGATACGCAAATGTATTCTTCCAATTATTTACTGGATCAGCCAATAAATGCATAAACTACATCTGTCATTTTTCTGACAAGACAGATAGCATGTATTTTTTGGACGAATTAAATCAATGTTGTTTAATAATCTATGTTATTTTAAATGAACATTAAATGTTAATTATGCACAAAAAATTACTCTCCAATTATCCAGTATAAAATCCGGACATTGCGATAAGAAATGAAATTGACATCGGTGATAAAATTTCGATTCTAATTAAAAATTGCTTTCAGAATTACCTGAATATTTTGTATTGGCTATTGTTATCTTGACTTTATATTGAGGGAGCTCAGCTGTTACTTTAACTTGATTAAAACTGTAAGAAGATTCAAGTACATCAGATTGACTAGACCAAATGACTGGACTAAGATCTTGAATTTTGTGGTCACGGGTACTTCATGCAGCTCAGAAATTAAATCGTGAACTTTGGACTATGGAGATGATAAGGATTATAGTAAGCCAAAGTATACAACTGGATAGTGGCAGATTATAATTGAAACTTGCTTCCGCCCCTCCTCCACCCTTTCGTTCTGAGCTTTAATACTTTGTCACTTAGATACTACAATGGATAGTATTAAGGTACAGAATATTTGTGTACTTTGAAGTAGGTGATATCTGGGGTATTTTGGTTGGAAGTAATACAAAACTCCTTTTGAGACAAATGGACTGAGATAAAGCTGTACTTTTCTATCCCCTACTATGCTTGTCTAGTTTGCCACTTTAGAAATATAACATAGCACGATAATAACGAGATCAGAGAGAGTGAGAAAAGAAAATCACTTTTCTGCAACTTAGAGCTACTTGCGATAAATAGAGGGATTTTAAAATGCCCATAGACAAAATTTTCTGGAGAAGTTAGCCTATACATGATTTGATAATATTAGTGGGAATATCCTTTACCCTCTCCAATCTTATCGGCTCTGCGAATAATTCAGTGGAAACAATACTCACTGTTCTCATCCTCGAACTCGCAGTTGGTAAATTCTCAACGGCATGAATTTTTGATCCTGCTTATGAATTTATGTCAGACGGAAATGTGAGGATGCAAATTAATATTCTAAAGATTCTGCCTATTCTAGGGAAAATTAGAAACTGAAATTGCCTTTTTCGTCAAAAGGAAAGGTGCTTTTTTGAAAGTTACTTTAGTATAAGGATATCAAATTGACAAGATCTTTAAGGGATTATGAAAATTTAGCATTAAATTCTGCTATATATATGCATATTTATATTGATTTTCTACTCTACAAATTTATGGAATAAAACTGCAAAACTTTCTAAGGATTATCACCTATTTCTCCTGATATACCGGAAGTCAGGTTTACAAGATATGTGAATATTTCATGGCCGCTTAAGTAATTTAATTATTCATTCTTAAAAGGTGTAACACCATGGACATGAATTAAAACAGAAGCTCGACGAAAGTTAATCCTGACATTTAAAATTGAAAAAAGAAGAGATTAATAGGAAGCAACGAATTTTAAATAGTTTTTAAACAGTGCTCAAAAGTACACTAAATTATTTGACATGAATTTTTTTAGAATAATCTTCCACTCCATGGCAAGCAAATTAATTCTTTAAAATTTTATCGGCTTTCCAATTCATTTTAACATTATCAAAACTTTAGATTACGGATTAAAAATAATTAAATCTAGAAAATTACATGTACTGTTCATGGACTTATTTAAAACTAATATCATACAGAAAAATGAAATAGAGAAGTAGACTGATTGAATTCAAATTAATAATTTAGAAAGTTAGAATTTCGTTGATGTCACGTTTCCGCTATCATTGAGCTTATCATCTTCTCCTTATTTAAAGAAACTTATTATAATTTGATTTAATTAATTAAAGATTAAGAAGACCAAATTCAGAATTGAATAAAAGAGAGTAATTTGTACTTTAAATAGAGAGCAATTCTCTGGGAAATTTTGTTTTTTTTCGATACGAGTTAGTAACCTATAGGAAAATTAAAAGCCACAATGCTTGATGTGATTTCCTTCTAGTAGATCATGTAATCAGCTGTTTCGAATGTTTAGTAAAAAAGATTCTTATTATATTATTGCTTTTTTGCTAAAAACAAATTCATCTTTATCATTGATTGAGAATCATGTCGTATATTCATTGACTCCATTGACTTGAATTTTTAAACAGATATAATTGCTAATGGACAACCGAAACTAATGAACTCAGTTTTGGAAGGTGACATCAAGGGATGGGTGAACACTCCTTTTATTCCTAACTGATGGTTGGCTTCTTATAATTTATTTAGGAAAATCCTCCATCCAAATGGAATCGCTGATGAATTACTGTTTTCGTCCATGATAGTGCGGAAAATCTTTTCAAGTGGTTTATCATGAAATAGGAAGATCCATTTTTAATTAAGAAGAGGAAGCGAAGGGATTTTGGACATCAAAATTGACAAGTTTAGAAAGTCTGGAAGCATTCATTTGTCTCTTATCTCTCTTTGGGAAAGTGATTCACTGTTTAATATACTAATCTTCAAATTCAATGATCTTACGCCTAAATTCAAAGTACGATCATTTCTGCAATTTACTTCGTTGCCTAAATATGCAACCTGATATAAATTGGTGCCTTTTAATACTGAAAACAGATAGACTAAGAGTTGAACGATTTCAAACTCGAAAGATTTTTTTGTGTGTATCCCATTAGGGACATATCTTTGATAATCTTTTTAACTGTTAAGCGGAACAGAGATTCTTTATTGGAGTTTCCATATCAGCCTACTTAGTGTAACCATTAATATGTCTGGGTGAATTTATTGTTTTAAATCGCACACAACTAAGGCGTTAATTGCTATCACAAAAAAACGAAATAGAATGAGTGCCATTTTTAGTTGCTAATGAAAACTATTTTGGGTGTTGTAGAACGTAAAACATGACCATCTGATCGAGGGAGCTTGAAGACTGCAGATATAACCTCTAAGATATCTACTAATTGAGTCATATAATTAATTTTTCATAAAATGTCTATATATATATATATAATATTTTGTTAGAAGTTAATTTAATCTCATAAGACATTGCCAAATGAATGGATAATATTAAGCCTTTACTTGCTTTAAGATTAAAAAATACGAACTATCTGATTTAAGAGCAACTTAAATTGCTCGATCTGTAAACTTACCAATAGTCGTGATAACAGTTACGGCGAAAAGTATGGCCCCTTCCAAGCTCCATTTGCAGTCCTCCATAGAGTCTTCACCATTCCATCCGGTATCTTTCATCTTGTTCACAAGTTTCCGTAGTATGATGTGTAACTCTTGTCGAGTTTTGTATTGGAGCAACTCAGCGATATCCTTTAAGCATTTTGTCCTAGAATAATTGTTGTCTTTCAGGCCACCTGCTCGACGTTTCGGACGATTTCCTATACTTTCATTTGACTTCAGTACTCTTGAGTGTTTATTGGGATCCTCATTTTCCTTCACTACCACCAAAGGCTCATAGTACTTTCCGCTCAGAGAGTCCTGGGGTGAAATATAATACCTTAATTCACGCAGGATAGAATTGGAAAATTCATCTGCAAGCTGCAGCCTTAAAGCTTTTCCAGCGATCTTCATTTGCTGCTCATGCTCAAACTCAACAGCCCGAAATAGCATACCACCGAAGATTGTGTACCCAATTACAAGAATGGATAAACCGATTTGGGAGAAAAGAAAAGCAAGAAATCGCTTAAAACCAGTTCGAATCTCCTTTAATCGGCGTTTTCGTCTATTAAATTTTTCTGAATAGGAATCCTTTTCAAGTAGAGATATGGGCGGTTTTCGAAGGGCTGTATTGTGGCCTGGAACAACTCCAAGTAATAGCCCGGCTTCCTCGATTGTGTCGTAGACACGAGTTAGAATCCAGGGCTTTTTAGACTTTGGCATGCTTTTTCTTTAAAAGGTTTATCGTTGAAAGTGAGCGCGTAGACCTCAATTGAACATAATATTGATGAGTGATTGGTCTGCACAAGGAAATTTGACTAAACACCGTGCCTTCAGCAGATTGGTTGGACGTATTGAGCACTTGCCACCTTTGCAAACGTGAGCCAATCGCGCCAAAAGTGAAATACCTAAATTTATCAAGAAAACGCAATGGCGCTCTTATAATGCAAATATAACATCTAGTAAATTAAAAAGTGAAGGATTTTTTCCTTAACTCGAAATTCAAAATGTAATAATGATTACTTTTCCACTCCATTAAGTTTCTAAGATATATTTATGATAATTATTGTCACTGCAATTTAAACAATTGGCTTCTAAATTAACATCATTATAACTCATTTTATTAGTTTTAAAGAGGCAATCTACTGAAATTGATAAATTTCAAAAGTAATTAATGACACCTTAGAAATAACAAAACTTCTTATAAGAGTGTTGTTTACAGATTTTTCACTCCATTAATTTAAGAAGTGAAGTAATAAAATTCTTTTCATGCCTCGAGAAACAGGAGAGACCGGCAAAACTTGATATTTCCATTAAAATGCGAGTTTCTCTTTCCGCTAAGTCCGTATTTCATTTCCTTACGTTCCAGTATTTTACAATTTCTTGAATAATATTATTCAATGTGTCATAAGCTGTTTGTTCGCTTGATTAATTTTGCTGTTTTTTAACCGCCGCTCTACTCACAATGCCATCAGAAAAGAGCACATTTCAGAGCACATTAAGGTTCACTTGTGGTAAAAGTAAATGGAAGAAAATGCAGTAGTGTCAACGATTTAAAACGATTAAAAATACCAGCGCATTTCGATGCGGCAGTCAAAGATTTTTGGGTCATATAAATTTTTTGCGCCGAAACGCAACGCTTTTGGAGTAGTACACTTTTAACCTCCCCCCCCCCCAACCTGCTAGCTTTGTAATTAATTAATGGATTACACTGCAGTACTCGAAAGTACAGCAGCTCTCTAATTCCTCCTGCTAGATTTCTGAATCACTCATTTACTGAAGAGAAATTAGCTGAAATGGCAACTAACTTCTGACACTTGGAATTGATGTAATATTTTGATGAAAAAATAAAAAGAACACTTACAGTCTCTTAAAAATTCATGGTGGGGCTTTCTGCTGAGCAGAATTTTATCTAATAAGTTTTGAAAGGTCATTAGTACATGTGCTATATATATATATATATATATATATATATATATATNATATATATATATATATATATATATATATATATATACGTATTTAAATTTATGATTCTCTGTTCCAAAAGGGGTGTGCGATAGACTTACCTCCACGTGGTGAACTCTGGGCAACGTATAATCATACGGCAAAAAGGTCTATTATCCGGCAGTTGACTTCTGACTTCAAACTACCATGACCCTACTGTATGCCATATTCAACCACTTTCACAGTACTCATCTGACCTTTTCCATCCTTTCGTGTCTGTTTGTTTCTTTTATATCTGTGAATCATTATTCTGTTTACTCTCTCGGCTTTCTGTTACTTTGATGAACCTTCCTTCTGTGAAGCCCGAAATCAACTAAATGGCTAATGATAGCTATCAAAACCCCTGCTATTTGAAATAAATAAATAATCGATATCGCATATATGTATATATATAACTTTATGATTCTCTGTTCCTAAGATTGTTATGGATCACCAACTAAAGTAACAATTCGCGATACGAGTAAGTGAGTTAATAGTCTTAAATTTTGATGACTACGACACGAAAAGCCAATTCGAGAATTTCCAATCCTTAATAAGTGAAAAAATTGATGAAATCGAATAATAGTAAAAAATTGAACCGGAGCATTAAGAATTGCGATAATTTATTTGAATTATAAATTCCACTGGTCCAAATACTTCAAGTTCAATGTTTTTCGTTATTTTTCAGCTTATTACCCATTTTCCCTAACTGGTGGGGTTGATTATTTCAGGTTGAATAATTAATCTTGCTTTCAGTCCAGAGCTGATATATGTGACTAGCAATCGAAGTGCCGAATCGATTTATTTTTCTGTTTGATAATCTATTTAAATGGTCTCTAAAAGTATTCGGAACAACTTTTGATTTGCTATTTGCTATTTCGAAACGATTAACAGAATGTCCAACAAAACAGAACTTAAGAGATGCGGAGTGAAACGCCAGGCTATCATAGAGCATTCATTAATTTAAATTTACACCCAAATTGCAAAATAAATGGTAGGCACTTCAGGTTTTGAACGCAAAAAATTTATTATCCATTTTCCTGGTTGTAGCGGTTGAATCTCTAATAAGACAAGGGCACATCAAAAGATTTTTTAACAACTTTGTTTTTCTTACCAAAGTGGAGACGGGGGGGGGCATGACGTTGACCTGTTTTACAGCTATGCTCAGTATTTATGGGAGCTTTCCCTTGAAATGGGCAGTTCGTAACTAAGTAAACTATAATTAATTTATTAATTAAAAGGTATAAAAGATGCTTAGTCCCAGCGGTAATTTTGATTTTTTTTGCTAAAACAATCGTTTACCACATAATTGTATTTATTACATTTATTTTTACTATTGGCAACGATGTACACTTTATTAACGAATAACTATATTTGGCTATAGGAAATAATTTCTCACAGAGCACTAATGAGAGAAACGTTTATTTGTTCCAAAATTTTCACAAAAATGTCAACATTAAATGGTAAAACCATTATACCATGTCTTGGTTTGTACAAAAGTGTTGAAATATAGAAAATTGGAAAGGCATTTTGACATGTATTTGCTGAAAAATCAAATTTGACTAATACCTGAAGTCGGATTTTATTAAATGAATTTTTCATATTGCATTCATTTGCGACCTTGCCAACAGCTAACTGAAAGTGGAAGTTGTTTTCTGCAGAAACACCCCCCCCCGGGAGAAAGAGGAGAGGGAGATGTCTCTGCTACTGCTCAAGCAATTGTCGCCAATCAATTAGGAAAGAACAACTTTAACAATATAAGCATAACCTCAGGCAGGGTAATACAGTCACATAAGTTTCAACTATGGGGTGAGTTGACTTAGATTGAAACCAAAGGTTGGCTCATTATATAAAGCGAACGGTGGGCTCACTTCATTATCAAAGGAGGAAAAGGTGTGAACAACTTTTCCTTACAAGCAAAACAGATTTTTCGCGTACGGCAGCCAAACGCAAGGAAGGCAAACGTAAAGCTTTGGAATTGAGATTGTAATTAGATATGATAAACGGAAGAGCGGCAAAAGGAGGAATCTCTCACTAATAACGCCTAACTTTTAGTTAACCAATAATATGCATATATTTTCAAATTAAATCGTGGCTTTATTCATAGTGCTGCAGTTCATTATACCATTCGAATAAGCCCAGACATAACGGTGAGTCAATACATAATCGGTAGACAAGACGCAGTCGATTTCTTTATTACTCAGTTCGCAAAAATATTGGCTATTTTCTGCTATGCTAAATGGCTCCTTCACAAGGTTCGCACTTTAGTAAATGCAAAGAAATGAAGTTCTGCTATGTCGCGTCTAAAAGTCAAGCAATTGACTAAAATCACATTAAAAATCTTATTGTCTAAAGCAATTTTTAGTAAATACGCAATTGGATAAGTGACTTTGTCGAAAAATACCATTAAGCCAATTCAATATGCTTTCTACACTTTGATGGTCTATTACAATATTATTTTATCTATTTTTCATTAATTAAGTTTACTTTTTGAATACCTAGATAATAAATTGTTAAAGCTAAGATGAATTTTTTGGTTGTCGATAACCTATCTCCACGTAGGGGCCAAAAATATTTTACATAAATTTGGTCCAATTAAGAGTAATTAATTACACTTTAAGTTGATCGAATTGTCTTCTAAAGCTTCAGAAGAAAATTGAGAAAGTTCAGAAGTTGTTGATACCAGCCATAGTGTTATCAATTTTCTTTATTAAATAAAGCTTCCTAAATAAAGGTTAAATTTTATTTAATCAACATAATTATTCGGACAATACCATGAACACTTTGAATGCTATCACCTATAAGTAAAAATGAAATGAAACCATTTTGAGAGTATATATGTGCATTTATTAACGATTCTGTGATAAAATGATTTAGCGTTCATGATATTTTAAATAAAACTCAAGCTTTTGAAGCATCAGAGTCTGGGTTATAAAAAATTGCAACTGATCGGATAATCTGTGAATATTAAAAATGGATCTATAAGCTAGCAGCAGTGCCGATAATCCGCTTTCGTTTGGTGTCATAAATTAATATGATTTTATCAATTACTAAAATGGTTTACTGTTGCATTAGAAAATTTTTCTTCATCAGTCAATAGAGAGTTTTTTCAGATGATTATCATTATTAGGATGAAACATATTTAAACTTTACTTTTCAAAAATATTCTTTCTCTTTTCTCAAACAAAGTGATGCTTAACTTCACTAAAAGTTTACGCGAACCTAGCACCCTAAATATGCGTAATTCTTTGAATTCAATAATGACATGGCAATAAGTAAACTTGCAAAATTCAATTAAAACTTTGACCTATCAACGAACCTCAATTTTAGATAGCCTTAATAATCAAGTATAAATACGAAAAAATTGCTGATAAAATTAATTTTGTCAAAATATCTAATTGAAAAGAACGTTTGAATAAAAGTAGTTGATTTTTTTTCCAAAGGGTAAATATTTACTCTACTAAGGAAGATCTTATCAGAATAATGAAAAAGGTAAGTAACTGAAAGCATTTATAAAAAAGGTTAAAAATTCAAGTCCTACGTTATGTAGATGTTTCAAAATACATGATAAAGAATTGAAAAAAAAGTTTTCTAAATTTAGCTTGCTGCATTTTAACTATTTTTCCCTTTTCTCTTAGTTGTCTTGCAAGAATAAATCACCGATAAAGAACGCATATGTATGCGAAAACTTGCAGTCTGCCTATTTTCCACCTCCTTCTAAACTACATTGACTCAAA